ACACACACACACACACACACACACACACACACACACACACACACACACCAAAAAACAAACTTTTTTTTAAAATATTTTTTTTGGTCGATCCAGAGACCTGTTGTGTGTGAATGCACTATGAATAGTGCTCTCAGAGACAAATTTACCCACCCTGCTCTTCTCCACTACTTTTCAGTTTGCTACTGTCTTCTCTCCTTACACATTTTCCTTCACTAGGTTCAAAGGTAGTTTAGTATATATATTCTGGTATGTGTTCAAAAAGCAAGAATTATGTATTACATTTTCTCACCAACTCCCCTCACCCTCCCTGTTGATTTTTACAAAGATTTTTTTTTCTTTACATTTGAATTCACACCTTTTTCAGAATGATTCACTTTAATGGAGATGAAAGGGGTTGGGAAGGATTGTCATATAAGATTTTCAATAATGCATTTCACATAAATGAAAATTAGTATACTCTGTTTTCTCCTGTTCACATGGGAGGGAGTCTGGGGAGGAGAAAATGGTCACCAAGATCCAAGGAGCCTAAGTTTTTCTTGTTGGAGAATTTTTCCTGCTTCCAGATAAATCAAACAAACATCAAAAACAATCTGTTGATAAGGTATACAATGGCAACCACTGGGTAGCAGAAACAGAAACATTTCCAATACCAGTTCTTTATGGCTGTTTGACCTGAGCACACTTGAATAGTTTTGTATTGAGTGATAGAGAATTTTTCCTGCTTCTTAAACCTACAAGACATTAGCAAGGTGAAACGAGCAGCAAATCTGGGAGTCAAAGCACATAGGTTTGAATCTTGGCTCTCCAATTTACAATCTGCATGACCTTATATGACCATGACCCAAAAAAGTCTTGAAATCTGAAAAAAAAATGACAAAAAACAAATGAAAAAAAAAACAAACCCAAAAAATTCTTTGAACTACATGATCTCTCAGGACAATTTCAGCCCTAAATTACATTAGGCAATGTTCTGAAGCTGGGATTTAGAAGGAGACTAGGACAGTTATCAGCATCTTCAGCTCAGTTACACAAAGAGAAAATACATTTGCAAAAGTAGTAGAACAGCCTGAACACTGAAGCAAAATATGCAAGTTTGATGATTGCAGGGAAACAACTTCAAGTGTGAACTACTCAGCATTCAATGTAAATGGTGTCAGATGTGGGATTCCAGCTGCTGTTTTGCTGCTTTTAATTTCCCATTAGCAGTCTCAATGTGTGGGAAAGATATCTGGCTTACAGTAGAATCTGAGAACTGGAGTCAAAACTGCTACATCTTATTTCTGGTTCTATAAAGGCATATTCAAAAGGAATATCAATTAAAGGAATCCACTTGAAATGTCACTTATATGGAAACAAGAAGATGTAAGAAATATATAGCCCAATGGGTTTCATTGTGAGGAGGGTGGATGGGAATGAGCTGTCAGAAATGAGCACTCAAAACATGACAACCTGTTGAGGTTGAGGGCGCCTCTGTCATTAAATAACCAATCTTAGTCAAGTTACCCCTCTCTGGGACTCAGTTTCCTCAAACAGAAAATGAGAGAGAGATTAGAAATATTCCAAGTATTCCTATGTTGATACTCTATAATGATTCTTAGCTCTTCCAGGACTTTTATGGGTAGGGCAATGCCCTACATAGGATAAGGCAGTGACAGAGAGCATGGGACAAGAAGTACTAATAACTGTGTATGGTCAGTGATTCTATCACTCATATAATTTTATGCTATATAATTTCCTACAGGAGACTGGTGACAAATTTAATTAAAATCAAGTAAAATGTCCCTTTGTTGGTGACTATGAAGCTACTATCATTGAGTCAGTGATTCTTCCCTTTAACCTGCTTGTCACCTGACTGAAAGGGAGAATAAATGAGAAAGACTTAGGGGATTTCTCTTCTCTTCTGAATTCAGGAGGAAATAATGCTTGGAAACCTATAAGATATAAAAAGGAAAAGAATTTAGTGATTGATTTAAAAAAAAATCTTGAAATCTGAATTGACCTGAAAACTTCTTCATGGCAATATGTCCAGAGGAAATCATTGGGGATATCATAGACTTAGAGCTGAGAGGAACCTTAAGGTGTTCTAGTCCAACTTATTTAATTTGAAAACTCTAATGGTGCAGGGGATAAAGAGCTGGGCCTGGATTCAAGACCTAAATTCAAATTCAGCCTCAGACACTATCTGTGTGACCCTGGCCAAATCACTTAACCCTGTTTGCCTCAGTTTCCTCATCTGTAAAATGAGCTGGAGAAGGAAATGGCAAGCCAGTCTAGTATCTTTTCCAAGAAAACCCCGAAAGGGGTCACAAAGAGTCAGAAACAACTGAAATAACTGAATGACAACAACAACCTAGAGAAGTTAAGTGAATCAATCAACAAACATTTATTAAGTTCATACTATGTGTCAAGCATCATGCTAAGCACTGGGGATACAAAAGGAGGCAAGAGACAATCAGGTACTACCCTCAAGGAGCTTATAATCTAATGAAGGGGTACAACATACAAACAAATATATACAAAGCAAACTATTAGCATTATAAATAAGAAGTAATTAACAGAAGGAAGGCACTAAAATTAAGAGGGCTTGGGTAAAGCTTCCAGTAAAAGAGGAAAATTTAGTTGGGACTTAAAGGAAGGTAGGGAGGTCAGTAGGTGAAATGGAGGAGGCAGAGCTTTCCAGGCACAGGGATAGTCAGAGAAAATGCTTGGAGTCAAGAGATGGAGTATCTCGTTGGTGGAACAGCCAAGAAGCTACCATCACTGGATCAAAGAGTAGCATGAGTCAGAGAGTAAAATATAGGGGCAGAATTGCAATCTGAACACAAGTTTTATCCTTCCAAATCCAATGATCTTCCAACTATTTCACAGGTCAGAGTGCTAGTGAAGGTGTGTGTGGGCTTATGTTCATCTCCTTTTGTTGGGCTTATGATTCACAGATCCTTCTGTTGGTCTAAAGCCTGGTAATGAAATACAGATATGCTTTTCAGTGGCCACAAATGCTAACCTTATAATAACAGAAGGTAAAGCCTGAAGTCAGAAAATTCTGTTTCTTAGACCTAATGTGGGTCGTATTTGTTCTGTTTAGCATTAGGTGTCCTGGTCACAGAAAAATGCCCAGGAGTTAATGCAATTGCAGTATTGATGATGCAATGTATGCATAGCAATGCAAAATAATAGAGAAAACAGCAAGACCAAATAGAGTCCCCTGGAATTTTTATAAAACATTGTGACTAAATTGCAATCATTTATTCAGCTTCTGGTCACTACCTGTGTTAACTGGAAGCATTCTGCAGCTATATTAATTTTGGGCATATTGTTTCCTATTAAGCAAGGCATAAATGCTGGTGATCCTCAGTACACTGCCAGCCTTCACTTTACGATGTATATTTTCATGTAATGAATGGATTATTACATTGGTTCTTTTTCACTACTGCCATTTAGAATAATCACATTCCCATTATAAGCCCAATTTCCCAGATGAGGTGATTTTATATGCTTTTTTTTTTTTTTTTTTTGCATGTAGGTAATGCAGAAACAGCTACATTATGGCCATTTTCTTGCCACAACCATGCCTAGCCAAACTCAGTCAGCTCCACAGTTCATAAGGGTCTACTGTCACTTATGCTCCCTCATTCCCACAACAGCTGTGGGACAGATGGTGGTGCAGAAGGGGTGGGAGCTTGGTCTCCTACAAACACAGGAAGCAAAACAAAGTAGGTAGAAAAGTGACAGAGCTTTACAGACTTTGGCCCCAGATAAAGTCGGACATCAGTTTTCTATCTCTCTCAGTCTTCCCCCGACCTCCAGGGGGGAGGCCCCATGTGTATCCTCACCAGGTTGCTTTGCGATTCCTGCCAAAATATAGAGCCATGCTTCCCTGACTGTGCTGGGTTTTAGAGTTGAAAGGACATTAGGAGGTCATCAGCATTCAATATAGAAACAATAATTACAGTGAAGTTTTTTTTTATTTTTTTTTATTTTTTAAAATAGCAATTGAAGATTCACAAAGTTACATTTTTCAAAACAGCTCTTCGAGGTAGGTAGTTCAACAGTATTACCAAATGTCCACATGGACAATTTGTGCCCTACCTGTGGTAGAACATTCCAAGCTCATATTGGTCTGATCAGTCACAGTCAGACACACTGTAACTTGAGTCTAGCAAAGTGATGTCATGTTGGTCCTCTCTGAGAATGAAGAAAAACAACCATCAATAGTATTATCCCTATTTTAGAAGGGGACCTTAAGTGACTTGGCCAAGGTTCTATAATTAGTAAGTGTTTGAGATAGATTTGAACTCTCTCTCATGACTCACAATACAGCACTCATTCCACTCTGCCATGCCAGTAGATATCAGTAGATAGCCTTTTCAAGGATTTTAGCTATCTACCGTCTATCCAGTACAGTACTAGGCACTAGAAGGGATTTTAGATATAAAACAATTTAAGGGGCAACATATTTCTAATTTGTGTAAGGTACTTATACAGATATGTA